GAATCAACAAACCTGTCTTGGAAGAAGTGCAGACAGAATGCTCTTTAGATACGAGAATGGTGAGACTTTGACTTACTTTGAACTTGTTATCAGAAGGGACCAGTCTCTGGAGAAGGATATCATGCCTGGTAAAGTAGGGAAGACCCTCAATGAGAAGATTTAACACACTGGCTGCAACAATGAACTCAAACATAACAACGCTTGTGAGGATGGTGTAGGACAGGGCAGTGTTTTGTTGTGTTGTACATAGTAGTTGGAACCGACTTGACAATACCTAACAACAACAAAGGACAAAGGCTCATGGTGAAATTGATCATTTTTAACAAATGAGGTTTCCTGTAGGCCCACCTAGTAAACTTCCATTCCTAAGTTTTTGACTAGAACTATGGCCAGTGACCACATTTAGCTACAAGGATATTGAAGGGATTTATCTGGGCACATTGCCACCTTGAACAAAATTAGGATTCTGTTAGTATAAAAAAGGGAGAATGAGTATAGAATATGTAACTAGCTGTGTTTGCCATATCAAGATACTGCAGTAGTCTAAGGAGCACTGATGATGTAGTGCCTAAGGCATTTGACTGCTAACCAGAAGGTTGGTGGTTCAAACCCACCAGCTGCTCCACAGGAGGAAGATGGGGCAATCTACTTCCATAAAGATTTACCACCTCAGTGGAATATTTTGGAAAAGGATAGTAATAGTGGTGGCACAACATCATGAAAAGTGTCATCAATGTCCCTGAGCTGTAGTTATGTGGGCAAATGTCTTGTGTATGTTTTCACCAAAGTAGAAGTAAATAAAAAATACCACTTCAAAAACCCAATTTGGGGGGGCAGGGTGTCCACAATGAGTCAGAATTGACTCAATGACAGGGAGTTTGGTGGTGGTTTTTTTTTGTTTGTTTGTTTGCAGTAGTCTAAGAGCCAGTGTATCAAGAAGTCTTGAAACACTGGCAGTTCATATCATCCAGTGGCTTTGTGAGAGAAAAGGCCTGGCTGTGTGCTCTTGTAAAGGTTACCGCCTACAAAACTCTGTGAGACAGCTCTGCTCTGTCACATGGGTCACTGTAAGTTGGAATCAGTTTGATAGCACCAAACCCAACAGTGTATAATACCAATGAAACTCTAGCCATAGGAAGAAGACAAACAACCAAAATCATGTATATATCAAGTATAAGTTAATTATACCTGTGTTGAGAAGATGCCCCCTTAAGTCAGAGGCAGCTATTGACAGACATAGCAAATACTGTATTGATGGTGGCAAAACATTCAGTATTGAGGACCCACCCTGGTCACCTCCAAGTCCACTCTGTAGACAGAATGGAAGGAAAGGTGAAGAATCAAGAAACTTTGACCCCAGAAAGCTGTGTTGCAAGGTGGGTGAGAACCACTGGGAACTGCTTTAGTGTTAGAGTTGCAGGGACATTTTCCCCGAGTGGTGGTCTTCATGATCATCATTTTGGAATGGCTACATACCCACTGCCATTGAGTCAGTTCCAACTCATGGCAACCCCCATAGGGCTTCCAAGGCTATAAGTCTTAACAGAAGCAAATGGCCTCATCTTTTTGCCATAGAGCAGCTGTTGGGTTCAAACTGTCAACCTTCTGGTTAGCAGCCGAATGCCACCAGAGTTCCTTAACAGTTACATGGCAAGGCTTTAAATAGCTTCCCCATTGTGTAAATATTTTTCATCACCAGTTATAAGAAACTGAACAGCCTTATGCCTCTAGCTTTTTATTTCTTCACAGTTGTTTCATCCTCCACCCTACAACACATACCACATCCCCTTAGGTTATATTACTGGAAGTAGGCTTAGCAAATATACAGTACTGCTTTACCAAAAAGGAGTGCACTAGATTGAAATGTAACCAAAAATACTTGTTCAATTAAAAAAAAACAACTCTGTATTGAACATGTTACAATAAATTTTTTTTAAAAAAACCTATGGACAGCCTTATACATCTTCATCTTGTCTCATTAAGTGGAGATACTGCTATTGTAATTGTTCTTAAAGCAAAATTTGAAAATTGTCCTTTGAAGTTAAAATATAAACTAATTTTAGAGAATTAGCTTCCAATCAGTTTATTCTTGAAGATTTCCAGTAGGAGATAAGGACTCATAAATAAGTAGAACTAGAAGAAAGGTTAAGGGTATATGTAAGTATTTTTATACAGGTGTTCATTTTATCCATTAAAATCCTATATCTCTATTATATCAATAACAAATATCCCAAAATAAAATATAACTTGAGATGTAAATACTGATTTTAATCTCAATGAAGTTATATTATTTAACTATTAATAATTTATGAATAATATTCAGTATCAGTTAAAATATTCGTGTATTTTCTTTTTCTTGGTTCATAGATTGGAATTCTGTAATGAACTTGTGCAGTTAATTCTAACTGTAATGCTAATGGACAGGCCATTTTACATCAAATGAAAACAGACTATAAAACTATAAGAAATGGTATACATGTACTCATTTGGGGACAGCAAGAACTAGAAATTGTAGCTCTATGATTTCATTTTTGTTGAAGTATAATGTCTGGAGACAGTAATATAGTTTGAACAGGAATCAGCTGAACATAACAAGCAAGCAGGAGTTGTATCTAGTACTGAACTGTCTTATTTGTAAATACAGCTCCACTATAGTTCTGCTTCCTTTCTTTCAGTTGTTGTTGCTCTTCAGTCCTGTTGAGTCGGTTCCAACTTACAGCGACCCTGTGTACAGCAGAAGGGACACTGCCCAGTCCTGCACCATCCTCCCAATCCTTGCTGTGCTTGAACCCATCACTGCAGCTACTGTGTCAATCCATCTCCTTGAGGGTCTTCCCCTTCTTCACTGACCATGTACTTTCCCAAGCACAGTATCTATCCTTCTCCAGGGAGTGGTCCCTTCTGACAACATGACCAAAATGGGTGAGATGAAACCTGGCCATTCTCACTTCCGAGGAGCATTCCAGCTACACTTCTTCCAGAAGAGGTTTGTTCATTCTTCTGGCAGTCCATGGTATTTTCAGGATTCTTCGCCAACACCACACTTCAAAGGCATCAACTCCTGGGTCATCCTTATTCATTGTCCAGCTTTCACATGCATATGAGGCTGTTGAAAATACCATGTCTTTGGTTAGGCGCACCTTAGTCTTCAAAGTGATATCTTTGCTTACGAACACTTTAAAGAGGTCTTTTGCAGCAGATTTGCCCAGTACAGTACTGTTTTGGTTACCTAGTACCTCTCTGACAGGAATATACAACAAATGGGGTGGCCTTAACAAACAGTTTATTCTTACAATCTGGAGGCTTTAAGGCCAAGTTCAAAGTGCCAGGCTCTAGAGGCTGGATGAAAGCCCGTCAGCCTTGAGCTTCAGCTCTGCCTCCTGCTCCCGGCCCACTGAAGCTAGAGGTTGTTCTTCACTCAGCTGCTGGCTGCTGAGGCCAACAAACCCAGGGTTGACAAGTGATAAGGCACAGTCCCAATATTACCAAACCACATGGCAGGCCATTAATTCAAGTCCATTAAATGTCCCAAGATCAACAGCATGGCGGGCTACTGAACAACGACTCGGCTACATGCAGGGTTCAAGAGTGCCATAAGCTAGAGCTCATTCCCCAAGGCTTCTCCTTCCATACAGGAAGCAGACCATATCCTTAAGGCAGCTCCTCAGCTCTTCACAGTAGATTCCACCATGGAGTTGAGTTCATCCAGCTGCCTAGCCACTCAACCAGCCCCAGCCAAGTTGACACACAAACTTAACTACCACAAATACGATGTCTGATTTCCTGACTGCTTCCTCAGTGGGTGTTGACTGTGGATCCAAGTTAAATGAAATCCCTAGCAACTTCAGTCTGTTCTCCATTTATCATGACATTGCTAATTGGTTCAGTTGTGAGGATTTTTGTTTTCTTTATTGTTGAGGTGTAATCCATACTGTAGACTGTAGTCTTTGATCTTCATCAAAAGTGTTTCAAGTCATCTTCACTTTCAACAAGCAAGGTTCTGTTATTTGTATATCGCAGGTTGTTAATGGTTCTTTCTCCAGTCCTGATGCCACATTCTTCTTCATATAGTCCAGCTTCTCAGATTATTTGCTCA